CACCTCTTAAAGAGTTGAAATAGTTTCAACCTGTTCAATGAGAGATGTGTCATAGTTAAGTGGAATTATATTTCTATTAATGTATCTAAAATTTTCATTGAATCTAGTTTGTTCGATATTACGATTTCCATATTGAGCTAAATTTAAAATACAATTTACTATCAATAAAATACAAATAGAAGTTGTTATGAAGATGTTAAATAGCGGTATAAAACTTTCATCATTATTTATAAACATAAAAGACTTCACAATTTCTAATATTCCAATCACAGAAAGAAAAGATGTCTTTTTAGATATTTTGAAAGGTTTGTCAGTAAATGTTAACATAAATAAAAATTCAAAACACAACACTAGAAAATAACTTGAATTCTGATTTTCTAGTGTGTCTTTTGTTAAGGATGCTAATTTATGCATAATAATAGGAATAAACATAATCAAAGAAAGCAGGATTGTTTTTTTATACTTATTCTCTTTAATTGTAATATCTAATTTATAATAGTTAGATTTATAATAATACTTACTAAAATATCTATTTAAAGCCAACATATAGAGGCCTGATACACCTAATATAATTTTATAAACTACAGGGTTTGAAGTAATTTCCATTATATTTAGGGCATAATTTAATTTGTTTATAAATAAATCAAAAACAAACAAATTAAAAGTTTAGTGTTTGAAATAAAAAATTTAAAGATTATGCTTAGAATATTTGATAAAATTTTTAGTGTTCTGCCGTTTATAATCCTATTTTTTCACTTAATTAAAACTTTTTATAATAGAGATATACTTTACATATTACCTCATATTATCTATACTTATACAGTATCGTTTCTTTTTAAAGTTTTATTTAAGAAAAATAGAAGATCAAAAACTTATGAATTTAAAGAATGGAAAATTCCAAAATTATTTAAACAACTAAAAGTACATTATGGGTTTCCATCGAGTCACACGATGTTCTTTTTAAAGTATTACTTGCTTAATCCTAATTTAATTAACTTTGTAATTTTAACGCTTGGATGTTTTTCAAGAGTCTATTATCAGCATCATACAAAAAGAGAAATTGTTTATAGTATTTTGTTTGTATTGATACTAGATTGGATAATTTTAAACGTTATTGATTTTATTTTTTAGTTCATAAATTTCATTATCCTTATCAAGTGTCTTGTAATCATCTTTGTTTAGGTTTAAAACAATTTTATCATCATCATTAATCTTTACAATTCCATGATCAATAAACTCATTCAATAATTCTTTAATTTTACTCTTTTTTGATATCATCATTTTATACTTTATTTTATCAAAAAGAACATTCAAAAAACAATTTTTTAAAATCAATAATTCAATAAAAAGTTTTTTAGATAATAAAGGAACACTATGGAATACTTTCAATGCATTTTCAGACTTGCTACTAAAT